TGAGTCAAAGGTTGTATGTAAAGTTGTAGGTGAGATGAGTTAAATGGAGTTCAAAGGACGTTTGTGATAAATTGTTTTGGATCTTACTGACGTTTTCAGTCATGTTCAAGTTCATTGCTCGTGTTTTGGACCTTATCTGATGCCGACTTTAATGAGGATTGTGGCTGACCCTTGTCTGGTTTTGCACAGGTATGGATCTGCTGCAGGGACGCTCTTTATCAGACGGATGGGCGGAGTTTAGAGGAAAGTTCTGGGAGTTTTATAAGGCAAGTTCACCTGGAAGTGTCTCAGACAGGGTCAGCAACCTTTTCCATTCGAAGAAACACTTTTCACCCCACTGCTACAAAATAAAACTCATCGAGAGAAAGAGAGAGAGTAACACAGAGTAAAATGTTTTATTATGAAAGCTAAGATATAAAGCAAAAATGTGTTTCCATTTTCAGATTTAAGAACAAAATGGATCCTCTAATACAAATTAAAAGTAGAATATTTGCCTTTTCTATTAAAATGGAAATGTAGAACTATAGGTAGCATGAAGCTTTTAAATGTCTGTTGGTTAAAATAGTTTTAGGGTTTAGTTTATCTTTTATTTTGTTTGTTTTTAGTGTGTATGCTAGTTTTTGCTGGTTAAAAAAGGTTTAGTTTAGTTTTTATTGGTTATAGTGCTTTTAGTTTTTTATACTATGATTGGGTAATGAATACTCAGCAGAGTATTGAGTAAAAATGTTTGATAAAATTTTTTTGATAAAAATGTTATAAAAAAAGCATTTTTGAAAATGTTTTTGATAACATTTTCAAAAAATGGATTAAATTAAATTGTTGTTACATTAGAAACAGCCAACTGTTTCTAATGTTTTATCCCAATTTTTGCTGTCGCCATTTTGCGAACTAGCGCAAATGGCACAGATAAAAAGTATGGAATGTCGTAACTGACGTAAATTGCTTTTGTGGAGGTGGGGGGGCGAACAACAAAAGTCACTTCAAACAGATAATACATTCATAAATACAAAAACGAAGGATATTGTTTCAATAATTGAATTATGTTTGTTTTATAAACACACAATTCTGTTACATTTAGTTATACTTTTTCACCTTTATCACTTTTATTTATTTCAGTTAACAAAACTGAAAAAACAGTTTCTTTGGCTTTAGTTAACTATAATAATCTTGGTAGATATTTAATGCAAGTTTTGCGTAAGAACATACATGAAAACTTCTAAAACAATCATGTCTTCTTGCATCCATAATCAGAAACATTTCCTTTTTGGTTTTGTGAGAGCCGCAGCAGCGGGTCCAGAGAGCCACATGTGGACAAGATCACAGAGCTGAGATTACTTACACATTTTTGACTCTTAACTAACAAAAGAAGATCACTCTGTGAATTTTATGTTATATAAAATACATAAAAAAAATTTCTTCTCTTTGCTTTTGATCAGAACACAAGTTTAAAAAATAGAAACAATGAAAAATGTAGTTTTTCTCCCTTTTTTGCATTATCTAATAATGTTTAAAGCTCTATATCTGATAAAAAACAAAAATAAATTGCTCAGTTATGTTAAGTCACCTCCAGATAATAAATGCATCCAGATGAGCAGGCTTTATATTCTGTTTCTCATCACATCCTGAATTTTTTGGAGTCCAAAGTGAAATAAATACATTTGAAGCAACATCCTGGAAAAGCTGCAGGCTGTAAACAACAACGTTTCCTCTAGTTGTAATTCTGAAGAAGTGGGAGTAGTTTTCCACGCTGGAAACTAGCTTCAGAAAGGAAATAATACTAATCAGCTGTGGTTGACCTCTAGTTGACCTCTCTCTCTGGAACAACTTTAAGGTTCCCAGAGGATCGCCATGGCAACTCGTCATATCTGGGAAATCTTTGCGAAGCCACATAGTTGATGTCAGGACAACAAACTGCATTTATCTGTGGAGTGCTATCAGTTTGATCTTTGCAGAACCTTTGCCAACGATCATCTGCTTTGATACAGTATAAAAATAAAACATGAGGATTTAGAAGACCTTGAAAAAGTATTCATTTCATCAAGGTGTTACGGCACAGTTCAAAATATTTTATCTAACTGTTAAAGTCAAACCATATTATTCAAGTGTTAAGAGAGTCTAGTCAAAGTCTGGAACTAAATCTGATGAAGAGCTGCAGCTGTAATTGGAGCCAAAGATGTTTCTGCAAAATGTTGATTCAGGGCAGCTAAAAGCAAATATCTGTCACTCTTACAATATTTTTTAAGAAGTAAAATGTTGACCACCTTCATAGTAATGGTCTGGTCTAAAACATTATGTACATTGAAAGTTGTGGTTGTAATCAACAAAATGTAATAGTTTAGGGTTAAATATGTAGCTCCATCTCCTCAGAGCAAAAGAAATTGGAAGTGGAAACCTTGTTAATGTAAAAATGTTCCAGTTGCTGAACATGCTGACATTTTAATTCCTACTTTAGGTTTTTCACATTTATCTCTGCAGCCGCTGTCCCTCTATAACATCCAATTACTCTGTTGCTACTGTGGAGCTTTTATTAATATCTCTTTTAATAAGTTTATGCAAAACTACAAAAAAGTGCTGTATATATTTAGGTTTATGAACAGATAAAATACAGAAATAATTCATGAAAGAATCTAATATTTAGCTTAAACTTTTTTGGTCATTGTCATGCTTGGAAGCATTTTTCTTAATTGCAGTTTGGGTTTATGTAAAGAAGTCCTGGTTCATCTACGAACAGCATAAATCAAACACAACCAGAGCTGCGTTGTTTTTATTGTGCCAGGCTTTTTCCCTCCTTTTGTCTCGTAAATGGTGTTTGCTCTGCTAATCTGTTGGTTTTGTTCTCTGTGTTTTTCCGGCAGATGGACTGGTGTGTTTGGCCCGCTGCGCAGGCGATTAACTTTTACTTTCTGTCGCCCAAGTTTCGTGTCGTGTACATTAACTTTGTCACGTTAGGATGGGACACCTACCTCTCATATCTTAAACACAGAGTGAGTGATTCTTTTTTAATTAATTTTTTTTTACAGTACCGTGTGAAAGTTTCAAATTCTTCCTTCATCAGATTAGGACATTATTTTAATTCAAATTTAAAAATACTTTCTTGATGCTAAAGGGAAATTAAATTAGTTTTTTTTTTCATCTTTTAAAATTATTTAAATTAATAGTTCTTGGATCTTTTAGAGTCTTTCAGCGTTTCTTTTTCATATTATTGTATGTATGTAACCTTTATTTATTCATTTATGTCTCACTGAGTTTAAAAATCTCTTTTTCAGGAGATTCTTGGCCAAAACTGACAGCAAAACACAAATGATTAAAATCCAAAACTACCAATATTAAAAAATTAGAAAAGAATTTATGAAAACATTTATCATAAAACAATTAAGGCAGATTTAAACATGAATTAGGGCTGGGCAATAAATCAATATCGATATATGTCGCAATAGACACATGAATATCAATAAATAATACTCTGATCCAGAACCGCAGAGCATTCTGGGAGATGGAAGCAAAAGAAAGACTAACTGCCACACTCTTTGGTTACCTAGCAACAGCCTGTGGAGTAACTTTTGGTTGCCTAGCAACGGCCTGCTGAGTAACTTGCTTAGCAGCGATTTTAGGTTTCAACAGTTTGGCAGATATTTAAAACAAACAAAAAATATGTAATAATTTTTATATCTGCTGAATCACTTATATTATAATATATTAATCAGCCCTGACATGAATAAAGAAAACATTTTACTCCATAAATATCTTGTTCTGATTAACTGGTTTGTGTCCTTCTTATTTTTA